TTTATTATTAATAACAGGTCTCTAACTTTAGTACATGTTGGAACGGTAAAAGTATTCGAAAGACCACTTATTTAAGACGAAGGATTTCTTGTGTTTTTTTTAAAAAAATGATTTATCAATATAAACCAGACACCGCCTATTGTGAAAACTGGTCTCTTGTTTTGATAAATAGACTTGTTAACATTAAAGACGAGTCTCTTGTTTTTTAGGTTACTCATCCGCCACTCACCTTTTCTCTTTTTAATTTAACTTCTCTCTCCTCTTCACTCCCCAGTTACCCTTACCTGTATTCATTTCCTTTCTCTTTTTCTCTCGTCTGTTTCTCTCTCCTCCTTCAAACCCTAACAATTTCCTTCAAGCCAAATAGCTAGCAACGATTCAATTTAAGCAGCCATTAACAAAGAAAAGGAAAGAGGAATGACAAAAAAAAGAGAGCAAAATTATGGAAATTAAATTAATCTCTTCGATTCCTTGATCGGTGATCAGTGAGTTATTCGATCCCCCTTTTCAATTATATTTTATTTTTCTCTTAGATGTGGCGCAAAAAATAGGGGTTTTTTTCCTTAATTTTTCTTTCTAGTTTACAAGTTTATTTGAGTAGAGCTGATCTTTGAGTTCTAGTTATCTGATGTTCATTTTTTTTTCTTAATTAAAAATATGAATTTCTTATAATAATTGTTTTCTAACATTTTTTTGTTAAAAAAAAATTGATTTTTCGTTTAGCCATGGTAATAGATTATTGTTTGTATATTTTGCATGTTAGTTTTTTCGTTTCAAAACCAATTTTTGCCATTTTTTTTATGAAATTTTTGTTTTGAAAACTTCTATCATATTCAGATCTAGTATTTTTCGTTATTATCGCTCACTTTCTTTCGTATGGAGTCGCATCTGGTATTATTCGTCATTATTAAGTTCGCATTAGATTTTATATATTTCTATTATCATTTTCAATTTCAATTTCAGCTCTTCAGATTTAAGTTCTGGTATACTTTATTTTTGATTTTTAAATTTCTTTTAATTTAGAGAATTTCTTGATGAATTGTTCTTCAGCTTGTTTTTGAAATTAGTTTTTTTTTTTTTGTTTGTTCATTCATCAATTTAAAAAACTTTTATTTCATTACTTAAATTAAATAATTTATCATTTTTTTTAATGTAAAAGAATTTTATTTTGTATCTTTATTTTTAATTTTTTGTTTTTTCCTTTGTAATTGTTCTGGTTTATTTCTAAATAGTAATATCTGTTGTTTGAATTTTTTTTTAATAGAAATCTGTAGTTTCAAGTTTCATATGATGATGACTAGAGACTAGGGGTGTCAATCGGGTTTTCGGTTCAGTTTTGGGTTCGGTTTATCGGTTTCGGTTTCTAACGGGTCTGTTTTTAACGGGTTGGAATTATTAACGGGTCAGTTCGGGTCGGTTTTAAATAATTTAAGGTCGGTTTGGTTTGGTTTATTTTTATTACAGTTTCTTTTCTGGTCGGATTCTAATCGGGTCGGGTTATAATTTGTTCGGGTCATAATCGGTTCGGGTTAAATTCGGTCGGTTCAAAAACAGGGTTTGTCAGTTTAAAGCGGGTTTTGGGTCAACACATATCGAGTCCTAATCGGGTCGGGTTGTAATCATTTCGGGTTGTAATCGGTTCGAGTTGAACTTAGTCAATTTGACAACTAGTTTTGCCAGTTTTAAACGAGTTTCGTTAACATATATCGTCTAGTATATCCTCAATATTCTTTAATTAGTTATTCTAGTTGATCATACGAAGTATTAATTAGTTGTTTAACTTTATGTCCCTTTTTTGTATAATGATTTTAAGGATCAAATAATAATAACAAATCTAGAGTTAGCTTTTGATTTAGATTTTTAATTTTTTTTTAATACAATATAGTGTTCCATTAGTCATTACTCGTTAGAGGACGATAATATTGTAGAATAAGAGTTTCAATGACATCAAAATTCCAAACCTTTTCAATATAAATACTTTATAATTCAAATTTAACCTTTTTGTTTTACTATTGATAAAATATACCCAAAAAAAATAATCTACGGTTATAACGGGTTACGGATTTACGGATTATAAACGATTCGGTTATAACCGATTACGGGTTGCAAATGATTCGATCATAACTTATTACGGGTTATAAACGGTTCAATCCTAACCAGCTACAAGTTGTAAACGATTTGGGTTTATTGGGTTTTTGTCGGGTTCAAACGGTTTCAGTTTACAATGGGTCGGGTTGCTATCGGGTTCAAAAGTACTCGGTTTGGGTTGTTCTCGGTTTCGGGTTGTATCAGTTTGGCTTGATATCGGGTACAGTTCATTAACGGTTGTCAAACATTCGGATCGGTTCAGTTTCAAGTTTTCAAAATCAGGTCGGGTCGGTTTATGGTTTTAAAATAATAGGTTCTTAGCGGTTCGGTTCCTTTTTGGAACAGTTCAAAACGGTCGAATTCACCAGTTCGGGTTTCTTTTTAACAACTCTACTAGAGGCAAATCGCTTGTTGGGTGGGAAGTGTCCGCGAAACAGAAGTGGTTGCGATGATTTTTGGCCTAAGAAATGCTTTTGATGCTGGGTTTCGCAAGTTGGATATGAGCGTTCAGCTACTCCTTTGTATTTTTTATTTTTACGTGTTGAATTTTCTTTGACATTTGTACTATGTACGTAATTTTTAAGGAGTATACAATAATTATTTTTCTCCTTTGTATTTAATTATGAAAAATATGAATAAAATTACGTAATATATAAGTTAATATTGATGAATCAAATTGTAATTATAAAAATATAATAAGCTATTTTTTTTATTTATAATGTGATCAAAGAGACCCGTTGAGTTAGAAAGCGGTCTCACTTTTCTAAAAAAAGAGACTGCCTAAATAAGATAGGCGGTCTCAGTTTTCTTAAAATAGAGACTGCTTTTCTTATAAAGCCAGTCTTAATTTCCTCAAAGTTGAGACCGCTTTTCTTAAAGAGGCAGTCTTAGCTTTCTCATTCCAGAGACCGCTTTCAATAAAGCTGTCTCTTTGCCAAAGAGACCGCTGCGCTAGAGACCGCCTCCAAGGCAGTCTCTTTGACTAACTTCGATGGGTCTCTTTGGCCAATTTTGTAGTAACGTAGTGGTGGGAGGGGTAATAGCGGTGCTTCAGGGGTGGGGGAATAGCGGCGATGCAGGGGTGGGGGCAGCTTGCCGGCGTCAAGATTCTGGTGGCAGGGCGGTGCTGCGTAGGGTCTGGCTGGCTGGGTTTTTTAGGTTTTTTTTTTTCTTTTTGTTTTTTAAAATTTTTTTTAACCAATACAAATTGCGCCACATGTCATTTACAGAAAAAAAAATAACCCATTCAACCGTAACCGGTCATTGGGATTGAAGAAATAAAACACCCCCCAAACTTGGGATTATTGTAGAATAATCCAAAGTTGAGATTATTAAAACAAAACGGGGCAAAGTTGGGATTATTATTTCTAAATTTTCTTTTTTTGAATTTCAAACTATTCATTCATTATTTGGTGAATTAAATTTTATTTAACAAAGTTAGGGTATTTGGTGAATTATTTAACAAAGTTAGGGCATTTGGTGAATTAAATTTTATTGTTAACGGACCTTTAACGTTAGGGGAATTTTGAGGTCACACTGTGAATAATAATACACGCCACACGTCAGTGGTATTTGATGAATTTTGAAAAATTTGAGGGCATTTGGTGAATTTTTCGAAAGGTCAAGGGCATTTGGTGAAAAAACTGTTTTTTTAATGATTATTAAAAAAAATTAAAATAGGTCCTTAAAAAAAGGACCAATAAAAAGGAGACACGTTTCATTTAACCTTCATCAACAAGTTAACAACTTGATAATCCGGTAAAAGGCTCGTTTTGAGTATATGGGGGTCACATATGGGTTTGTTTCTATATTTCGAAGAGGTGGAATTGTTTTGAGCAGAAATGATAAAGATGAGATTATTAATTTCCATTTTCCTAATTAAAATTTATATGTTGTGGGCCTTGTGGCATAGTGGTTAAGTAATGTTATTTTTGTGCAAAAGATTGATAGATCAAATCTTGACCCTCCCTAACTTTTTGACCCAATATTCACAACTAACTAAACCATTATAAATATCTACCAACAATCGTAATTTCCAGTTCAAGAAGTTTTTAATTATAGAATATTTTAAATAAAATAAAAAAATAGAAAATCAAGAAAGGTACTCCGTATTTTTTTGAACGGGAAGTAATCAAGAAACGGTATTTTAGTTTCTTGATAATCGACTTAATTGCCGTAACTAACTAGATATTTACCTCAAACCGTTACAGATGTTTACTAACCCCAGAAAATCTTGCGTGGACCTGATCCACAATAATGTTATTGTGGACCCGAGGTTTTTACACACATAACTGACATTATATTAAACACAGTAACCCTTAATTTTGACATAGTAACCTTATTTTTAACATAATAACCTTTATTAAAACTAGTATAACGTTTAATATTATTGTAAACTTAAAGTATAACGTTATGACCCTAATTTTAACATAGTAACCTTTATTATTCAAATTAACCAGTATATAAAATATTTTATTAAAAAAATTAACCTTTTATAGCATATATATTACCAAAATGATTTTTATTTCAACATAGAGACCTTTTTCCTATATAGTGACCGTTTTTTTTTCTAATAAAACAACCATAATTTCCCTAATGTTAGTGGTCCATAACAAATTAGTGTGAACCAGGTCTATTTAAGAATTTGTATACTAACCTATTCCAAATTTCCAATAAATCAGTTTTTACAAAATCACATTCATCAATAAAATTCGTCATTTGTCTTGAAGTCACCCTTATATAAACCCTCTTTAAAATAACGTTTTTACATTCATTTTCCTTTTGATCCAAAATTTCTCTGTTACTTCAACAACACAAATTATTAGCAAAGTTTCTCTGTTTTTCCTCAAAATCAGAAAACAACCTTCCTTAGTCATCTTTTCAGTCCCAAACCTTCTATTTGTTTCACAGTAATGGCGGCTTTGAGTTCGTCAGGATCATCACAGAAAGACGAATACAGTATTGAGGAGGTGTCTCCAGAAGGGCGATACGTAAGGTACCACAAAATCATAGCAAGAAGTGGCACCAGAACAGTTTATAGTGGGTTCGATAAGTTTACTGGTAAAGAAGTTGCTTGGTGTAAGACAACAGAGTTGTCAGACAAATTTAATCGAATATCGTCTCATCCGACTTTCCCAGAAGATAACATAATGAAACTGTACCATTCTTGGACACCCGATGATACCCTTGAAGCCCGTAACACGATTACTGAGCATTTTAGTTCAGGAAATCTGAGAGAGTACATCAGCAAACATACTCTCGATGACAGTAATACCGCGATCAAGAACTGGTGTCGACAGATTCTAAGCGCGTTGCATCATCTTCACACGAAGCATAATATACCGGTAGTTCATCGAGATTTGAAGCTTGAAAATATCTTTGTTAATGGAAATGTGGGCAGAGTTAAGCTCGGATATTTCGGGTTCGCGTTGCATCTTGATGATGAAAAAAGGTACACTGGCTATGATGGTATTCCAGAAACACTGTCGCCGGATATCTTAAGCAAGGCAGATTATTTCGAGGAGACTGATATATTCTCTTTTGGGATGAGTCTATTACAGATACTGTCTAAGGAAGTGCTGTACAGCGAATGCGAGAACAGAGAATTCGTTTTCTACAAGATTAAGAAATGTAAACCGCCTGCTGTGTTATACAGTGTGAAGGACTCCAAGATTACGCAGTTCATTATTAAGTGTCTGCGTCATAGATCAGACAGACCAAAGGCAAATAACCTTCTGGAGAACTCATTTCTTGCAGACGAAGATGTTCCTGTAACATCGACAGCAGCAGGTATCAGTGCTGCTACAGTTCAGACTCTAAGAGAGACTGTGCGCGATTAGGTGGCAAGATTACAAGGGGAAAAGTCTGATGATACGACATCTGGATCTCAGGGAGGTAGCAGCAGTGATAGTAGGATTGTCGAGAGTGATTCGAGTAGGCCGTATGTTAGATACAATGAGATGATTGAAAGTAAAACGATTCTGTATTTTGACGGAGATTACTTGAGAGTCAATGAGTTAATTTCATGGTTCGAGGCAAGAGATTTATGCCTCGAATCGGAAACATGTATGGTACGACGGAAAATCGAAATATAGTACGCAGAAAGTTTACAAAGGATTCGATAATGTCGCTGGTATCGAAATTGCTTGGACTAAGACAGAGCTAACAGAGAATTTGTTACAGAATAAGGAAATTCTTGAGATGTTATGTGCAGAAGCTGGACTGATGAAGTTATTAGATCATAAAAATGTAGTAAACTGCTACGATTCTTGGATTGATTACGAGGCTAAAACAATAAACATGATTACTGAGTATTTTCCTTCAGGAAACTTGTTACAGTATCTCAGAAATCATACAATATCAGGTCATAATGCAATTCAGAATTGGTCAAAACAGATTCTGAAAGGAATTGCTTATCTTCACAGTCAAACACCGCGAATTGTACACCGTGACATTGTCTGCGAGCACATTTATGTGAATGGAGAGACAGGAGATGTAAAAATCGGAGGATTCGGGTTTGCGTGTTTTCTTGACGAGAGGTTATGTAATCAGAGATGGGTTGGATCACGTTACAAGTCAGTAGAGTTTGCTGTAGGATGTTATAACGAGCTGGTGGACATTTACTCATTCGGAACGTGCGTGCTAGAGATGGTCTGGGCAAACAAATCCAGTGTGAAGGAAACGATGGAGTTACATAGACAAGTGCGTTTAGGCGGCCTTGATTTTGTTGAAATACAGAAAGTGGCAGAAGACGATGCTGAAGTTCATCAGTTTACTCAAAGGTGTTTATTGGCTTTTGATTGACCCTCGGCATATGAGCTCTTGAAGGACCCGTTTGTTGCACCGTTACCGAGTTATTTGACTGATTCGAGTACCCTCAGAACAAGATTGCACAGGATATGTTCCTGCATCTTCTGAATTGAAGTGCTCTCCAAATGCCGGCTGTTTGCATTTTGCTATGCTCTAATATCAGTCTGTTATTAGTTAGTTTGTTCTTTTGTCTGTTTTATTAAATAAAACATAGTGTTAGAATAATGAAATGTATGAATGTATGATTACTCAGTTTTCAGATTAATGCTAGGTTGTAATCATGCATGGTCTGTGTGTAGAGGGGAGGGGGTTGATTCTTTCTTTCGTTAATTGAATTTCATCAGTTGTAATAAGGCCTTGTTTGGTTTGATGTAAAAAGTTTTCATGGAAACTGAATTTTCCATTTTTTTCCCATTTTACTTTGTTTGGTTTGGTAAGGAGTGGAAAACAATTTTTCAAGGGTGGAAAATTTCATCCTTAATAATAGAAAACATTTTTCTTCCAAAAACAAGGGAAGCCACATTTTCCTCTCTCCTCCTTACCTCTTTTTTTTTACTTCCCTCTCATTCATTCTTACATTTCCACTCTTATTTTTTTTTTTATTTTTTTTTCTTGGACTTTTCTTGTATGCAATCAAATAAAGGAAAACTAATTTGCATTTGTGTTTTTCCTTGAAAATATGTTTTCCATAAAAACTAATTTTCCATTGAAAATATTTTACATTAAACCAAACAGGGCCTAAGTGTTTGATTTGGTACAAACAATTTGTTTTTCTTCCTATACTCTGGTTTCTAATTCTGTTATCTATGATATCATGACATGACTACTATAATTTGATTGAAGCATAAAAATACACCAAGTCTCTAATGAAGTCAAATAAGATGTTTGAGTCGGATAATATATGAAACTCTTTCTGATTTAATTTTTTTTTTCAAGAGTACAAGTTATGTTTGGATTTGAGTTATATTAAGGGCCGCATTCTAGCTTTTGTACATAATTTCTGATAAATTTCCTTAGAGATTTTTGATTTATTTGTAATCGTACTCTTACTCCAAGTAATTTCTATACTTTGATGTTTATCAGATAAAAACGTCCTATGCTACTATTGTGCATTTGTACATTATGTATTGCCCTTTTGGGTCTGTCTCCATAGTCACACGTTTGGATAATATGAACTCAAACCTATAACTCAAATGTACAATAATATTGTACATCCGTTATATAGTTACCCTTAAAATGAGCAAAACTTATCCTAATATGAATTAAAGTTACATTTACATAAATAAAAGTTACTCGTACGAAACATTTATTCTTCATTGATAAAAGTTACCCAAAAAATTGTAAAAGTGACCCCTAAATTTGATAAAAAGTGACCCTCGATGTATTGCTGTACACCGATATATACAAAAGTTATTCTAATTTGGAGATATTTTTTCAAATAACAACCGACTAATTTGTGATTCTTATCTCGGAATACAACCAAATTACTATACCTTTTTTTTTTATTTCTTAAACCACCAAATTACTATACTTAATTGTCAAAGTGGTTAAGCTTTTTCTATTTGATACTTAAAAATAAAAAAAAATAACAAATAATTATAAAAAAAAAATAAAAAAAAAAATAAAAAAAATAAAAAACCTTTTTTGAACAAGTCAAAGAGCAGAATCTATTTAGATATTTAAAAAACGTAAGTTGACAAATTAGGGATGAAAAGAGAATGAATACCTTGATTATTATTCATCGATAGGTAGAGTATTTATACAAAACCTACATTCTTATGGAAATTTTCTGCCATGTTTTAAGAGATTGACACCCTGTAACCTGTGTTTTATGCGAATAAGCTAATAGTAAAAGAATCTAACTAAATAGTCTTGCATCACAGAAGTCAACAGTTTTTGTGACAAATTATAGAGTTTTAGTTAAAAGTTGCTTGGATTATGTTGATGCTTGTTTTAAATTTTGACATCAAATGATTGAAGTGATAAATTTTCTCCTGATCATAGGAATATCAAAGTACGAAACAAGTTGCAAGGCTCTTGTTTGCTAGGGTATAACTGCAGAGTCTGTTGGTAGGGGCTTTCTTTTGTGATTTTTTTATAACTTAATAGATTGAACAGGAATGAAAATGTTTCCTGTAATGTGCTATAAGCGTGAGACTGATTGATGGAAGCTTCTTAATTCCCATTAAAGTGAGTGTGGTAGGTTCAATATGGATGGGATTGGGTATGAAACTATTAATTGGGTGTGTTTGTCTAAGGCTGTCTGTTCGATGCAAATGAGATTAAGTTATAGAAAGGTATCCTCTAAGCTCTCCAAAGTGCCATAGTTACCTAAATTGTGATTAAATTAGGTATCGCTCCTATACTGAATTGCTACTACTAAAACACTACTCCATTTTAACACAAGCTGACCACTAAATTGACTACGATTCATAGCATTTGCTTACATTATCGGAGTTACAGAGGTAAGACAATTGAAAAATGAAGCTTTTGTTACACTTACAAAAGATGCTGATACTGGTTATCTCATTAATGTTCTAGAGGTGTGTCAAAAAAAAAAAAAATGTTCTGAAGGTAAGACAATTGTAAAATGAAGCTTTTGTTACACGTACAAAAGATGCTTATACTAGCTATTTCATTAATGTTCTCAAACCAAAATCAAACAAATTAACGAAATAATAACTTGCCCTCCCATGGCAAGGGCCAACACTAGCTAGGAATCCCAGCAAGAATAACAAATAACAAGTAAAATGCCTAAGTTCAAGCAATCATATTTACTGAGAATCAAAGTATCTAATGCCTAGAATTATAATCACAATTATTACTCTAACAAGCAAGATGATTAGTAACAACATCCCGAACCAACTAGGTATCAATCAACGTGGTGTGTCTGATTAGGCTCATTAGTGCAAGTCTCGTGTGTCTTAGATGGCGAAACAGTCTGAGACGATCCTTCTGGCCACCCAAATGTTTGATCTTCCTCATCAGTGGATGTCTCGTGTGTCTTAGATGACGAAACAGTCTCAAATGATCCTTCTGGGGTCCCAAATGTCTGATCCTGGTCATCTATCTTAGATGATCCCACCGGCGATCCTAATTTCTGATCTTGCTCATCAATCTTAGACGATCCCTCTTGTGAACTAAATGTCTCGCCCCCACGCTTAACATTACGTGTAGTTGATCTCCTGTGTAACAGAGGTGTCTCATCCTCTTCCTCTTCCTCTTCTTCCTTCAGTTCTGTAGATTGTGATGCAGCAGTCGTTGTGTCAGGAACCTTTGTCTCTGGCTCCAGAGGTGGTCTGGATGGCAAAACATTCTCGTGTCTTTCTTCTTTCTTCGGTTCTGTACGTGATGATGCAGCCTGTAGTAATCTTGCCACCTGGTTACGCACAGAATCTTTCAAAGTCTGAATATTAGCAGTAGTCCATTCTGTGTTAGCAGTAGCCCGTTTTGTATCAGCAAGAAACTTATTATTTCCTCAGAAGGTCAATTGCCGCAGGTCGGTCTGATTTAGGGCGCAAACACTGATCAATGAATTCCCTAATTTCTAAATCTTTCACATTGTTTAGCGCAGCAGGCAGTTCACCCTTCTTAATCATATCGCAAACCAGCGTGTTGTCGTTGCATTCGCTGTACAGCTTTTCCTTGGTCACTATCTGTACTCTTTCAAATTCCCGGAGGTAAAAAGCTCGGTAATCATGTTAAAGATCCCAGTGGATTCATCAACCCAGTATTTTTAGCATTTCTGTATATTTTCATGGTCTAATAACTTCAACTGATCCGCTTTCTTTGACATAAACTTCAATACATCTTCATATGACTCTTCTGGTAACTGAGTCTGACACCAAGCAATTTCTATGGAATCAACATTATCAAACCCCATGTAAACTTTTTTCAGGTCACCTTTGTCCTATCATTTTGTCGTACCTGACATATCTTCCATCCCGAGTTTCCTCCACAACTGTATATTCGTCTGACCGTGAAGAACTCGAAGCAGCCATAATTGATTAGTTGAGCAAACAGGAGATTTGAATTGATGAGATGAGTAAGGTTGTTGTCTGGTAAAAACAATTTGAAAAACAGAGAAAGATTCTTGTGGTTTGACTTGATAAAAGCAGAGAATTATTGAATTAAATGGAAAAGTAAAAACAGAATACGTGCAATAGAGAATGAGGAGATTAATTTTATGAAAAATGCTTTTATAAATGTAGATACGAGCTTATCTTGTTAAATTCGTTATGGCAGTTAAGTCGGTTATCAACAAATAGATTGTACCCTTGATTTATATGTATATTTTTATAAATCCCTTTATCAATTTTTTGAACTTTTATTCAAGAGAGAATGCTTTTTTTTTTTTTTTTTTTAAATAGGAATGTATGGACTAAACATCTAGGGCATACGTTTAGCGACTTCAGTCTACTGAGTCATAAACCTCTTTGATATAAAGGGATTCAATACATATGAAGAGAAGAAGTGAACTTATTATGGTTGAGATCCAACGAGAAATTTCTTAATACGAGAAGGATGTAAAGGGATGAATGTGCAAAAATTTTTTCACTTACATGTGCAAATTTGATTTTCAACAGGATTAAAAAAAATAATAAATAAAATAAAAAAAAATAAAAAATCAATTTCCGCAAAAACAAAAAATTATGCACATTTTGTTCAAATTTGTGCACATTGGATTTGAGTCAACAAAATGTTTACACATTTAGTTAAAAAAAAAGTGCACCATTACTCCTATAAATATTTACATAAAGTCAGTACTGTGGTGTCTACCTAAAAAAACCTTTGCCTAATCGCAACTATGCATATATAAAATGAGAAGATGGGAGCATGTGGAATCCACCGATAAAGACCTTAGTACCTCTGTTAATTTAAAACATTCTTTTATTTAATTAAAAGTTTAACAAGATAATCAAGAAAGATGATTTCTATTTCTTTATAACCGCCATAACAAACTAAAACTAACGGCAAGAAAAATCTTTTTTTTT